TACAAAACGCCAAAATGTAAAAAATAATAAATTAAATAAAAATAATAATAAAGCATTAGGCCAGGGATATTTTGGGAAAGTGGCAACTGAATAATGTTAGAAGGGTATGGGGTGTTTATATAGGAAAATTTGTGACCATCTGTTTATAATGTTTATATCCTGACTGAGCAAAGTACACTGAGTGATTAATGTATTTTTGCACAAAAGTTGGGATTTATGTTTATAAAAAATAAAAATTGTGCAAAATAAAGTGAATCACCATGTCAAGATGCTGATTAATTGCAAAAATTGTGCTAAATTTAGTAACAAACTTGCAATAAAGTGAAAATGAGCGGGCAATTAATCAATCAAGGCCAAAATTTGGGCTGTCAGGACCCATATAAAAGCAGGACCAAAACCGCCTAAAGGTTCATTCTGCTTTCACATTCAACATTTAATAATAGCCTTACCCTCTCCTAGCTTAATATCCCCCTCTCCAATTTAATTATATCCTTATACATTCTCCTCTTCCTATAATTGAATTTTTAAAATTATTTTATTTCAATTTTTAATTTTTAAACTTAAAATTTTTGTTTATAAGCTTTTGACATTTTGAGTTAACTTTACAATATTTAATATCAATAATAAAATTTCAATTTATTTTTCCCTAATTTTCGATTGTATTTTTGAAATTCATGTTTATATAATCTTTCATAGTTTGACTTTTCATATTTTAGTTTCGCATATTATTTCATTAGAAAAAATTCTGATGGAACAAATAGTTGATACGACAACCAAAAATGGTAAATGATAATACGTGTTATTAGTTAATTTAATAATATGTCTTATCATTTACAGGCACGGCTGATGCCCCAATTATAATTGATGAGAATGCTGGGACGGAGATGTGTGTGGATAAGGGTTGCGAAGAAATTCAAAGTGAGGCAAAAACTGTACAAGAAGATTCGGCATTAGAAGGTAAATATTAAATATTTTTGATTTAGAAAATAAATTCAGCTTCAATGACGGCATCGGAAATTCAAGAACTACGCTCTTTTATATTAGAACACAAAAAGAAAAAAGAAGCTGCAGAAGCACGTCGACGACGTTCTCTTGAAAAATCGAGTTCTACTTTGAGTTCTGGTTCTTCAATCAAGGCACCGATCGCAAAGAAGTCACAAACCAAGTCGAATAAAAAAATGGGAAATGTTTCAAGAAATACTTTTGACGCTGTTATTAAGGTTGAAAAATTTTCGTCAATAATTTAAATTAAATATTTTAGTCAATTATTGAACGAGCAACCGGTCAAAAGTCTAAACATTCAAAGGAACAAGAGCATGATCATGAAGCTATTCTTGAAGCGGTTATGGATTATGAAGAGGAAGAGGATGAGTCTGATGATCCAGATCCGAATGCGGTTATTTCTTTGGGCGAGGATGAAGATGAATACAATCGAAGACGAATCGAACGTATGTTTGATATTTTTTAGTTTCAAAAGGTTTTGTTAAAAAACCTTTCAAAAGGTTTTTTAGGTAAACAACGCGCTGAACAATTAGTTCCTGAGGCATTACTTAAGCGTGCACAGGTGCTTAAAGTACCGCGCCAAGGAATTTTCATTCACCAATGCAACGACTGTCGAGAAACGCAGAAGAAACGACAAAATTTTCTTTACAAAGCAGGAAATGCTATAAATCTTATGCTTACATTCGAATTGTGCGCAGAGGACCTCGACAAAAATATAAACCTAGGGGCGTATTATGCTCTCTCTTGGGGTATTACATAATTATCAAATGATCTAAAAATTTTTAAAAGGTTTCAAGGAAATGTATGAAACGCCTGAGGAACAAGCGTCCAGCTTTTCAAAATGTAAGAAAATTATAAAAATTGAAATTATTGAAAAAATTTTTAAGCTGACGGTGTTTTATACTTTCAAAGGGGTGCAAATATTGCTTCAGGAACTGATTATAAGCTATTGAGCTTAATGAAATATTGTTGGATCTTGCATCAGGTAAAAATTTAAATTAACTACGATTTATTTTAAAACTTTAGTGCGATAAATGTATCGCTCTTCAGAGGTCCTTGGCCAGTGACATGTTTTTGCAAAAATGTGGGGAAAAATATGAGCTGAGTTTCATGGTAGATGTTCAAAAAATTTTTAAAATTAATTAAATTTTATAGGTTTGCGAGGCCTGTAAGGACATCAATAAAGACTACCAACAGAAAACTTTTAATATGTTTAGCAATTTTAATAAGAAAAAATGAATATTGATAACTATAACATTTATTGAATAAAGGCTATTTTTTAATGGAAATTTTATTTTTCATTCGTTTTATCGAATTTTATCTTTTAATTTACTAATTCATCTTTGGAATTCTTTATAGCAACAAATCTTTATCTCAAATATTACAACTCGTTTTGTGCAATAAAAGGTTTCGTTTTATTCTTTTTAATTTTACATTAACTTTCAGATGGATCAACATGTAGCGGATATTGCACTTGAAGAACTCAAAGAGAAACGTACTCGTCTGGCGAGAAAGCTTGTGCAGCTTCATGGTGCAGAATATGATGAAAAGCAACTTAAGTCTGATCTTTACAACGCATTTATTCAGCATCACCGCAATAGATATCCGCAAATTGGATTAAGTAAAATCCATGAGCATTTTTTGAAGGAGAGACAAGCTCTGGGAAGACAAGTTTTTATTGAAAAAGTTTCTTATTTAAAAAAATATTAAGGCCATTGTTGACGTCGTCAAAAATGAATTATATTCTGCTCTAGGTCATCCAAATAGCAAATATTGGGAACAAATTGACCTGCAGTCGGCAATAGACGTTTGCTGCTACAGACGTTATATACCATCAAAGAAGAAGAGAGGTATCTATACCAATTTTTAAAAACATATTCCTATATTTTAGAAATTTCTCCTGTCATTATCATGAACGACATAACTAAACGTTTGGAATCTCAACTTAATATTGAGACACATGCGAGTCAGGATTTAGCAGATGGAGGTGAAGGCACTTCGACACAAGACAATGTGTCAATATTTGCGCCTGGTACTGTTCATTATATGGCGACAAACGAAGAGATACATTCAGAAGAAGGATGGTAAAAAAGACATTATGCGAGTCCTAGCTTTTTCCTAAAGTGCCTGTTTTTTTATAAATGAATAAATTAACCAAATAATTTTATTCAAATAATTTTTTGCGTTAACATCGCAAAATTATTTAAAAAATATCTAATAAAAATTTTTTGTAATTTTAGATGAACCGAAAAAATTTTGGAAATTATTCCATTGACCACTTTTATAAAGAAGACGTATCCGAAAATCTTAAAAGCTCGAAATTTAAAATTGGAGTTTTCAGGTAAATAAAATTTATTTCTATAAAAATTTTTTATTCTAGAACTGTTTTCACTGTTCGCAATGTAGATGATGCTCCAGATGGTACCGACAAACTTTTAGAAGATCTGATCGACCACTTTTTGGCGCAGGCTGATAAGACAGCGGGTGCAAAATCCGAAAAATGTTCAATAATTATTAGAAGTGCGGTTCTTGAAAAACCAATTCAAATACCATATCGCGGCCTCGCTCAAAATACTCCTCAAGTAGTTATGGAGCAATTTGATGCAGTTGATCAGAGTGGGAAACGTATGGGAAGACCTTCTTTATATAGCCAACCTATTCATATTGAGGTTTAATTTATTTTTTAATTTAAAAAATTATTTATTTCGATTGTCATGGGTCCTTCAAATGATGAGGCTTTAGAATTAATTAGACAAGGTCAAGGAGGCGTCGGAAGAAATCCGCGTCAAATTCAGCATGGAATTGACATTAATAACCTAATACAAGTAAACAAGTTTATTTCTAATCCTTTTATCAAAATATTATAGGTCCATAATGAAACACTTAATCCTCCCGCTAACAATCACTGTCTATTATTAGCTGTTCAATTGAAACTAAAACATGTTAACCTGGAAAAGTCGAATGTTGCCAATGTCAAATTCCAGAGACTTGTAAATAGTCAAAGTAAAAATGCAAAAATCGGACGAACATTATTAATCAATGAAATGCTTCAGCAAATGTTGATATACAAAATTAACTACCCTCATTATGCACCTCAATATACAGTAGAAGAACATGTTCCGTTGATTCAACAACTTTTAGATCTCCGCTTCCCTGGAAAATATAGAATATCAGTGTTTGGAGAACATGGAAATATGCGTCCAATATGGAAAGGCCCTGAAAGAGCCGAGCATGAGATCGGATTATACTTGAAGCAAGGGCACTTTTATGGAATTAGATGTGTGAACGCGCTTTTTGGAACACCTTATTGTATTGACTGTGAGGCACCCTATAGACATAAGAATGCTCATCGACAGGCATGTGTAGCTAAATGCCCTCGTTGTTGTGGGATGGGATATGGCTTCCCATGCAAGGAAATTGAGGGATATTCTCAAAAATGTTTTGAATGTGCAAATATTTTTATAAATCCTGAATGTTACAAACGACATAAAGATAAAGGAATTTGCAAAATTTTTAAAAGGTATTTTTTGTGTTTCATTTTTTACAAATTTTTTAGATGCGAGAAATGTGGACATATTTATCGTGTCAAGAAAGATTCGGTTAACTCGCAACAATCAAACAGCGAATCTACGGACAACAGTGAAAATGATTCAAATAAAACTGTTGGTCATGTTTGCTACATACAATTTTGCTCGCTCTGTCGCTCATTCCACAAGCGCGATGAGCAATGTTATGTTCAACCAATTGTACCAAAAAATAAACAGAACTATCTATTGGTATTTTATAAATGTAAAATGAAATTTTTATCTTTAGATTGTATTCGATTTTGAATGTGAGCTCATATCTCCAATAAAAAATAAAGAAGCGTGGAAGCAACTTGAGAATGATGGGTTGACTCCTTTACGTGCATTGCCAGATGATGAAAATTATCAACTTCATCATGTAAATTGTGTATCGGTAATAAACTTATTATTTTTATTATTTAGCTATAAATTTAGGCTTTGTTGATGTGTTCGAAGTGTATGGGCAACAATAGTTGGAAAAATGATGAAACGGGTGATTGCAAGTTATGTGGTGTAGGACTAACCCGAATGAAAAGCTGGACAGCAGCATTTTATAAAAATCCTTTGCGTGAATTTCTGGAATGGTTAATTAATGGATTAGGGTATGATCGAACGTTAAGAACTTATGCCATCTCACACTATGGAGGGTTTGCTTACTTATATTATTTTATTAGAAATTTTTTAGTCGCTATGATATGCATCTGCTATTAGGAGAGCTCATCAAACACTTTGGCATCGAGCCTAAAATTACAAGAACCGGAAATAAGCTTTACGAAGTTCTTATTAAGAAGCAGCGAAGACGATGCCCATTTATTTCATTTCGCGATTCGTTCAATTGGATGATGCTCAAACTTGAGCAATTACCAAAAGCGCTTGCTCTCGAAATTGACGAGGGGGGAAAGTCTTTTTTCCCTCATGGATGGAATTTTAATAAAAATATGAATATTTGCCTTGATGGATTGCCTGATCGTCAATATTATTACCCTGATTCAATGGGAAAGGAAAGAAGGAAACTATTTGAAGAATGGTATTGCGCGAATAAGAACGAACCATTCTGTCTGCGCGAAAAAATTATTGAATACTGTGAGCAAGATGTTCGGATACTGGCGCATGCCCTTGTGAAACTTCAGCGTCTTTTTTTTGAATTAGCTACAGAGCCTTCAAAGTGTGACGACGTACTTGTTAACTCTATGACACTTGCCAGCGCGTGTATTCGTCATTTCTGTAAGTTTTAAAAATTATTTTTTAATTTACTATACTTTAAGGTATAAACTATTTGAAAGAAAATCAAATGGGTATCATTCCCGATAATGGCTATCACCGGGATTCAAACCAATCTGCAATCGCTTTAAAATTTCTTCGCTGGCTTTCACACAAGACAGGCCTTCAAGTTCAACATCAAGAAAGTCCAGAAGGAGAAAAAAGAGTCAGAGTTTCGGATGGAAGTATTTTGCGTCTCGATGGGTATATTAAAAACATGGGAGGTGTAGACCAAGCTATTGAATTTTTGGGATGTGCATGGCACGGACATGAATGGTAATTAGATTTATATTCCAAATTATTTGCTTTTAGTTTATATCGCCCACATGAAGTTTGTTTAAATGGAAAGACGGCACTATATAACAAGGATAAACTTCATGAACGTGTTCTCTTATTGAAAGAAGAGGAAATTTGGACTACTGCCGTTTGGGAATGTGAAATTATGAAAGAACTTGAAGAGGATCCAGAAATGTCTCTGTTTTTTGATACCTTGCCAGATATTGGCCCGCTGTATCCTAGGGATGCTTTTCATGTATTATTTATTCGAAATAAATACTTATTTTAAATTAAGGGGGGAAGAACGGGACCTTTGGCACTTAAGTGTGACTTAGAAGAATCGTCAGAAAATGAATATGAAATATCATGTTTTGATGTTGTTAGTTTATATCCTGCCGTGAATTTTTATGCCTTTTATCCGATAGGTAAGATTTAAATTTTCAAAAATCAGAATAAAACTTTTTTACAAGGGCATCCAAAAGTTATGGAACTGAACAAGGACGTAAATTGGACAAAGCCTGAAGATTTATATCCATACCGAGGGCTGTTCAAACTTTTTATTATTCCTCCTGATAATTTATATTTGCCTGTTATTCCAGAACGTATTCACGGCAAATTGGTATATATTCGAGAAAAATTTTTTCAAATGTTTATTTAAGATTTTTCATCTTTGTCATCGCTGTGCTGTAGAGATATCGCCGGGAATTGCAAAAAAGCAAATTCAAGGTTACACTAGAGAAAAAAGCTATGAATTGTGCCCACATAGCGATGAACAACGAGGATTTGTCAGTACAACATGTTCTGTTGAACTTGAACTAGCTTTAAAGAAAGGATATCGAGTTACAAAAGTCTATAGCATTTACCATTGGGAAAAATGGTCTGATAAATTGTTACGACCATATGTTCAGGATATGATGCGTTTAAAAATAGAGGTTTAATATCTTTGATATATTAATCAATTAATAAAATAGGCAAGCGGTTGGCCAAATAGTTTAGCTGACATCCATGGATCAGAATTAGAAGAACGAAAACAAGAATTCATTAATCGAAACCAAAGTGTTTATGGAATAAATTTGGAATCTTCCCGAATTTCTAGAAATGAAGGCATGCGATATCTAGCAAAAACCTGTAACAATTCGATGTAATATTTTTTGAAGTAAAATTAAAAATTTTTGTTTAGGTGGGGCAGATGGGCATTGAGATGCAACTTATCTCAGGTATCCTTAAGCTAATATTACTTTAAATAATTCTAAGGATTGCATAACAAGTTCACCAGTTAAACTTCACACAGTCCTTAATGACCCGAAACTTGAGATTGGGGCTGTAGAAATGTTGGCTACAGATCTATTTTCTGTTCCTTATCGGCAACGAAAGGAATTTGTGCGTCCTCATGATAAATACAATATTGCAATTGCCCTAATTACTACTGCAACTGCTAGAATAATGCTCTACGATTATATGGAAAAAATAGTAATGGAAAAGGGCTGTAAGCTCTTGTATACCGACACAGATAGCTGTTTCTATGTTCATAAACGTGGACAGAAGCATCCATTTCGTGTTGGAGAAATGTTGGGAATGATGGCCCAAGAATATGGAGAATGGAATATTGTTGCTTTTTACACAGGAGGCTGTAAACAGGTCAATAAAATATCATTCCAATAAAATTAAAAATTTTTAGTATGCAATGAAAATGAGGCACAAGGTCAGCAAAGAAATAAAATTCATAGTTAAATGCAGAGGGTGTTGGGATACAGTTGACTCTCCTCTGGACTTCAACAAATTTAAAGTATATTAAATATCATTATGAATTTGAATTATAATTCTAGTCAATGGTCGAAGCTTATGGCGAGGATCAAGAACCTGTACTACTTGAAAGAACACACTTTCAACCGAGTTGGCGTCATGGGGAAATTACGAGTCGGTCACAAACTCGGTGATTTTTGAAAAATTTACAATATTATAATCATATTTTAGGAGATATGCCCCTATCTATGATAAAGGATTAATTGATTCAAATTTTGATTGTTACCCGTACGGATATAGAGGAGATCCAATAATTGATCCGACTAAATAAATTTTATCATGTATAAATTTAGCTAAAATTCTTTTTTAAATTCATAGTTTTCATACATGATATTTTTTAAATTTAAATAATCTATTTTAAAAATGCTTACAGGTTTTTGTTTGCTATTTAACTTTATTATCCAAATGACAAGCAATAATAGTATTGGTAATATTGATAATGAAATTTGTTCTTCAATAAAAATTTAAGGTTACAATGCAGGAATGCTGGAAAAATTTAAAATTTGTTCAACGTCCACTTTGTCTGTGAAAACTATACCACTTATAAAATTACTTTGTCAGTTTAATGGAGGATGTGTGCCTGAAACACTTAATTGTGAAATTCGCAAAAACTATAACGAAAATTTAAAATTTATTCAATCTCTTACTACTATGACTAAAGAGGATGTTGCCAAGTTAAAAATTGGGCAACAAGAATTTACAGAAAAAGATATTTTGCCTGGAAAGAAGTGTCTTGTAACAAATCATTTAAAACATCATTATTTTGAAGTTTATCCTAGCAATTTTACTAATATGGGTTCTGATAGAACTTTTGCACTTAGAGGATATTTATCTATCACCATTCGGTTTAATTTATTAATACATGATCTTTAATTATTAAAAATTAAGGCAATTCTTCTATATTAGACACTATCTTAATCTTGTTTATCCTCATCTTCCTCTTGTTTGTGTTGTTGGAGGTGGAAGCCATGAGAATTTCTATCCAATAGAATGTCTAGACTATGTTGAGATAGAGGAAAAGATGTGATTCATAAATGATTAAAGTGTTTTTTTTTGCAAAAAAATATCAACTTATTATTAATAAATTATTTATCGATAATTTGTTTAGTTAAAATGTATCGCTATTCAAATATCTTTAATATAAACTTCATATTTAATTTTATATTATTAAGATTTATTTAATATCAATCCATATGTTCAGTGACATCAATCTTGGTAAGAATTTACTCTAAAAATTAATTATTTATTTTCTAAGAAACTACTTCACTCATGTTCGAACGTCTCCAATTGAAACACCAACAGAATTCGCTACCTCCAGAAGAGATTCTTGGGACTCAGAATCAGAATATATTTATTTTCAGTTCGCACAGATGTGGATTCGATAATCGGTTTAAAACAACTTTCACGTTGCTTGGTCGAACGTTCAATTCGACTGAACAGTATTTTATCTGGCAAAAAGCTCGATATTTCGGTGATTTGGAAATTGCTGCACAGGTTTTGATGCTCAACAATCCGTTAGCTATTGGAAGAATTGGAACGCGTGTGAGAAATTATAATAAACTCGAGTGGGATTCTGTTAAGAGCAAGGCAAGATTTATTTTCCAATGTAAAATTAATTAAGAATATTCCAGATTATGTACACAGGTTTATGGGCTAAATTCACACAGAATACTCAGCTTTTAAACCAATTACGTGCAACAGGAGATGGCCTTATTACTCATGCTTCCGACTCAAATTTATATTGGAGTAATGGATTGAGTCCAAAAAGTCCTATTCTCAATGATCCAAGTATTTGGGAGGGAGAGAACAAACTTGGTGAACTATTGATGGAATTAAGAACTGAAATTAATGCAAGCATTTTTTGATTGATTTCTTTAAAAATGCTGAAATTGAATTATATATTTTATCTTGAGTTAAATAAATTTCTTCTTCTGATCTTGCTCCAGTAATAATACATTTTCCTGTTGTGAAGACAATTATAACTGCACGCGATTCTTTTAATCTTAGGCACATACCAGGAAAGAATTCTGGATTGTACGAAATATGTTTAGCAAGCCAAATAGGAGGTGCATACCTCATTGAATCATATAACGCTAAAAATAAAATAATTATACAGAAATAAAACTACCTGGTAAATTTAGCGGCCCCGCAAATGAAAACGATGAAACCACATTTTGGATTCTAAAGCTATGCATCTCTATTGAGATTGAAATTGCCTCTTTTATAATTTGGACAAAATGTCTAATTGCAATTTCTGAGTCCTTAACCGAATTAGTTCCTACACAAACTATTCTACCATTAGAAAAAATTAGCCCTGTTGCTTTCATAGGATATTTGAGTTTAATAGTCAGTGCGGAAAAACGTTTTGGTTGATATTTTGCTTCTGAAATTTTATCTGCCAGCGCTGCTAGATCTATTTTGTTAGTTCCTTCAATTAATTGAGCTGTAGAGACAATATTTTGTATAATGGCTTTCTGGTACATCTAAAAAATTTTTGCTAATAACAAATTGTTGTTTTTGATGAGTATGTATGGCTAAGTGTGGGCATATGATGAAATCGTCTTTTAAATATTCAGACTGATTATATCATAGGCCTACACTTCAACCAAAACATTATTTAAATACAAATAATAAATATTAAAGCAGAAGTTAGGAATAATAGTTGTACATATATAATTTTTGTATTAACCCACTTAACCACAAGGTCCGACAGAATTAGGTACTATATATAATATAGAAATTTTTGGTATCAAAATAAAATGTTCAACGCCCCTTTTACAATGATAATTTCAGGGGCCACGGGTAGTGGTAAAACCCTGTGGCTTTTAAAATTTCTCAAGAATACTGAACTCCTTATTGACCCACCACCTTCAAAAATAATGTATTGTTTTGGTGAAATGAATGAAATTGTTTTTAAAATTAAAGAAATGGGCATTACTACGTATAATGGTGTAACGGAACCTGAGATAATTAAACAACATCAGCTTTTAGTTCTTGATGACCTAATGCTTAATATTCAAAGCGAATTCCTTGATTTATTATTTACAAGGGGGTCACATAATTGGGGAGTTAGTGTTATATTTGTAACACAATCACTTTACGGCCGTAATATAAAGACAGCAAGAGCAAATGCACATTATATCCTTCTAACTAAAAATCCTCAAGGATTATTGCAAGTCCGGACACTCGGCTCGCAACTTTTTCCAAAAATGATAAATTATTTCCTTGAATCTTATCGCGATGCGACATCAGAACGTTTTTCTTATTTATTGATAAACATGCATCCCAGCACTGAGGAACATTTAAGACTTTCTACAAATATATTTCCCGGAGAAAAAACCACTATATATCTACCCTTGTAATATATAAGTGATCAAAAATTTGGTTCGATAAAAATGCCTTCATATAACTATAGCCCATACGTTAAAGAAAATTTTGAGTTCCTTCAACGCTTAGCAAAAACATCCTCTGACAAGAAGAAAAACGCTCTAATACTTACCGCTAACGCTGATCAAATTTTAGCAATTGTGGAAATTTGTGCTAATATCTTAAAGCATAATTTTACACTAAGTAAAAAGCAACGTAGAAAATTGGCACAATTTGCTGATTTTTATAGGGCGATAGCAAGGACACGCACAGAAAACAGTGCACGTAAACGACTACAAGAAGGCGGTAGTGCTGCGCTTGCTGCTATACTTGTCCCTGTATTAGGAGCACTAGCCGAGCATATTATACATAAATTCTCCCAGGAATGAAACATACAAAGAAAATGGTAATGGTGCCAGAAAGCGAGTACCTTACACTTCTAAACATGATTAAAGGTGGTGATTTCTTGCAAAATGAGAAAGCGCAAGCTAACATGGAAATAAAAAATACTTTGGATGATCCTAAGCTATCAGAAGATGTAAAAGCAAAAAAATATAACTGGTTATATAAGAAACGACGTCAGCTTAAACATGAGTTGGAAAATCGTCCTCAAAAAGTAATTATCGATGATAGTAAAGCAAACGCTCCGGAGGTTGCACCTTATTTGCAAGAAGCCGCTACTACTACACCTAAATCAAAGTTAATTCCTAACAAGTTACAAGCTGAATCAAATTCTAAATCTGAATATCGGACTGATTCAGAACCGTCCACGTCAAAACAAACGAAACGAAGGAACATAACACCTTTTAATGGAATTATTTCAAGGCGATATTCGAAGGAATTGGAAAATTACGTAAAAGACAATGCTGAAAAATTTAGAATAAGGAAGAATGGGAGCTTTGAATCTAATGTCAAAGGAAGGCTTGTAAAGAATAGTAATTTCGCTGAAGTACTCGAGTATGTGCAAGGGGAAATATCATCACCTCCAAAGGGTTTCAGTTTTTTATTTAATCGACTATCCAAGGACCCATTAGTAAAAGAGATGATTAAGGAGACTAAAGGAGAAAGTAGTACAGAAGAAAGCTTGACTGAAGATAATCAATCAGGCAGTGGCAAGAGAAAAAAAAGAGTTCTAGTAAAAGTCGCCCCTATAAATTCGCCAGGTTTAATACGACGGAAAAATAAATTTATGCCAAAAATATGGGAAAAGCTCTAGAAAACTTATTGGAAAAAATTTATTATTCACTAAATTCTCCTGCTTCTTACGCAGGAATAAATCGCGTCTATGAAGAAGCTAGACGGAAGTATCCTAAAATAAAATTTCAGGATGTTTATGATTTTTTGCATAGGCAAAGAGTTTATACAATGCATAGACCTGCAAGAAAAAAGTTTCCAAGGTTAGTCACGCGCCCAAGTGGACTACACACAGATTGGCAGGCGGATTTAGCCATATTTGATCAACTAACAAAATATAATGATGGGTATAAATATCTTTTGGTTTGTATTGACGTACTAAGCAGAAAAATTTTTGCTGTGCCTGCCAAATCTAAGAGATCTGAAGACATGATTGAGGCATTCGAAAATATTTTCAAACTTTCAGAAGGGATACTTCCTCATAAATTATATACAGATAGAGGGTTAGAATTTGAGGCTAGACGAATGAAAGAATATTTTAAAAAGAAGGATATAGATAAGCGTGTAGTATACAGTCCTGATGTTCATGCTTCAATGGCAGAAAGAGCAAATCGAACAATCAAAGTAAGACTATATCGATATTTTAGCGAAAAAAACACTCTACGTTGGGTCGAGGTTATAAAACAAATCGTTTCTGGAATAAATTCGAGCGTAAACCGCGTTATAGGTGTTACACCCAATTCTGTTAACTTTAAGAACTCTCGAAAATTATTTGAGAGGCTATATAAGGATACACAAAATATTAATCCTCAGAAGGTATTATCTATACTTAAGCCTGGACAAACTGTTCGTATAACTAAAGAAAAAGGTAAATTTGAAAAAGGATATTTGCCAAACTATACTGACGAATTATTTCTTGTCTATATAGTAAACGACGCGCATAATCCTGTTACATATAAGTTAAAAGATTTTGAAGAAAATATAATTGAAGGAGTGTTTTATAGAGAAGAGCTAGTACCTACGCAAGAGGATACAACACATAGAATTGCAGAAATTTTGAAAACGCGTACCACACGTGAAGGAATAAAACAGCATTTCGTACGCTGGGTTGGATACAAAGAAAGCTATAATAGTTGGATTAACGATACTGATATCGTTCGAAGATAAATATGGACTCATTTTATGTAGTCTTGCCTTCAAATACCGGAAGCGTTGAAGGAAATACCACTTCAAAATTTACTGTGCGAATGCCTGATACACTTGAATTGGATTCTAGCTGGACAGTCGCGCTTTCAAATATTATATATCCGTTTTCTTTTTCATTGTCCGGGGATTCTGAAGAACAAGAATCTATAACTGTGTTTCGAAGATATGGAAATGAACTTTTACCTATTCGTATCGAGATACCGGATTTGTCCTTTGCCTCAGAAGAGGCATTAGAAGAGGCCATTAATGCAGTTTTGCTTGATGTTTGGAAAAAGGAATTGGATCGTGAGCGTGAGGAAATGAGGCTTGAAGAGAATAAAAAAAGAATTTATGGGATTTTTCGCAAAAGACGCGCTGTCGAATCTATAAAAGAACAGTATGATAAACATGGTTATTTCGATTTGAATACAGATGAACTAAATAAATTTATCAAGCTATTATCGGAAGAGGATGAAGCAATTAGTCCAAAACTTACAAATTTGAGTCCAGGAGAAAGCGGTAAAAATATTCGTCTTTTGCCTCCTGCAAATCAAAAATCTCTTTATTTAAAAGTTATTGATAAATTTATTCTTTCACAACAAGCCTTTATTCAATTAGAACCTACGGAGCAATTGGCTAGAGATGGCTATTTTGATCTGCAAAAGCAAACGTCTTTTAATTTTATGAAATATTTAGGCAAAGAACAAATTCGATTACCCCCTATAAGCCCTGCCCCTCTTGCAGTTGATGGTATAGAAAGAGTTCGGTTTCGTCCGTATACCGATCAAAGGGAACTAATAAAACAGGCTATTACAGAATTTATGAATTCTTCACACGTTGATCAAACTGAGGTGAAAGTTGGATCTGTTATTAGTCAAGGAGTAACCCCTGAACAGGAATCAACTCCACAACCAGCTGCCGAGCATGAGAATCCGCAGGTTAATTTCTCATTGGAGTCTATCACTCACCAATTGGAAAGGGAAGGTTACTTCAATATGCCAAAAGACCTTGCTTATAAATTTATAAAATATTTAAATAAGGAAATTAAGGGCGCAAAACTTCCCAATGTAACTTCGGTTTCGGGAAGCTCTGTTGAGACAGTTAGATTAGAGTCACAAACTGATCAGAAGGATCTTATAATAAATGCAATTAAAAGCTTTATGTCCTCTTCCCTGTCAAAGCCCGATCCTATTCAACAATCTGAAACGAGTGACTCTGTACCATCTGAAGAAGGAAGTTTTGTCGAAAATGATCAAGAAAATACTAACGATATTCAAGACACTTCAGAGACGGCGCCTACAATTCTAAAGGCTACACCTCCCACTCCTGAGACTCCATTGACAAGTCCAATAATCGAAGCTCCGCCCACTCCTGAAACTCCAGTCGAAGCACCTGCCACTCCAGAGACTCCAGTAACAAGTCCAATAATCGAAGCTCCGCCCACTCCTGAAACTCCATTCGAAGCACCTCCCACTCCTGAGACTCCAGTGACAAGTCCTATAATTGAAGCTCCGCCCACTCCAGTGACAAGTCCTATAATCAAAGCTTTGCCTACTCCTGAGACTCCAGTGACAAGTCCAATAATCGAAGCTCCGCCCACTCCTGAAACTACAGTCGAGGCACCGCCCACTCCGATGACAAATGAAGCTCCGCCCCCTCCTGAAATTTCTGCGACAAGCCCAATAATCGAAGCTTTTCCTACTCCTGAGACTCCAGTGACAACGCCTGAAGAAAAACCGCTTGAATCTAATGACAAAACTCCTTTAGATGGGAAAATAACTCCCCTTAATTATGTAGACGAGCCTGATGAAAAGCCATCATTAACTGATGATCAAAAAGTTTTAATGGAAATGGCCGTTCGTGCCGCGACAAGAGCATGGAGAAATAGTGTAGAGTTGGCAGAGCAAGCACAAATCAATATGGAACATGGTGAAAAATATTGGCAGAATGCGCGCTATAAGTATGCATTGAAAGATAGTGTGATTACATTAAAAGAAACGGGCGAAACTGTACACTTAAGAAAAACGCCTGAAAATATTCTTGAATGGGTTAAATCTCAGTTAATATTGTTAACTAATCGTAAAATTGCAATTGATAAATGGACACAGGAATGTTTAGAGTATGGAAAAAGAGCTTCGGAAGCACAACTAGAAACTGAAGCTGCAGAATCCCGCGGTGATGTCACGGAAGCAAGAAAGGCTGCGGATCGTGCTAAGGCCGCAGAACGTAAGGTAAAGGAAGCAGCCAGTCAGGTTGAAGAGGCTGTTGCGGGGCAAAAACGTTTATCAGAAGAAATTATTGGTAAGGTTGACGCGGAACTTGCGAAACAAGACACGGCAATTGAAACAACTTCATCAAGTCTAGTACCTGCAGCCTTTGAAAATATAAATGAAACATTACCAGAAGAGACTAACGAAGAAAATATTGAGGAGCATGAAGAACATGAAGTTGCATCAATAGTCGATGAGGATGAAGAGCAATGGACACCTCCATTAATAGAAGAAGAAAATATCGAAGTACAAAAAGAAAAAGAAGAAAAAACTGAAGAAGACAAACAAGAAGAGGTACTGCAGGAATCACATTCATTAACCGATGAGGACGAGGAGCAATGGACACCTCCATTACAAGAAGATGGAAATATTGAAGCGCACAAAGAACTTACGCTTATCGAAGAAGCTACTGAGGAAGAAGATGAACGAGAAAATCCTCCGGAAGAAACAATAAAAGATCAGGACGAAGAACAATGGACTCCTCCATTACCAAATGAAGTAAATATTGAGACATATGAAGAACCTACGATTATCGAAGACGGTACTAAGGAAGAAGATACACAAGAAGAGACTCTGCAGGAATCTCAAACAATAAACGATAAGGACGAGGAATGGTCACCTCCATTAGCAGAAGAAGATCCTTTAAGTATTTCGCCTTCAACGGCAAATTTAATAATAGTTGAAAATAATAAGCAGACTGATCTTCCAACTCTTCCACGTCCTGAAATGTTAATAGGAGAACCTCCTGAAAGGCCTTCCTATTGGAAAAGCTTCTTTGGACATGGCGGTGTATCTAGCGAAAGCAAAACGGAAGAAAAAAATCTTCCAAGTCAAGAAAAAGAGAAGAAAGGAGAACCTCACAAAGAAAAGTTAACAATACGCGTTGATGATTCGGATCCTAATGTAAAGAAAATGCATTTTGCTAAATATGGCTATCCTCCTGAATATCTAAAAATGCTTCTTAACTTTTCCAATATACAACTAGCTGATCCAAAATATCAATGGGTTTCAGTACACTTTGATAAATTGCATAAAAGGTTCCATGTCTTCTTACAAGGAAACGTACATTATATTCAATTAAGTCGTCAATTAGCATATACTCTTGGTTTTGATTCTGAAAAAGTTCATAGTGGACAAGTAGCAAAATATATGCCTGATATATCTGGAGGTGTTCGTCAATTTTTGGTTTATGCTCCAAGGCTCGTTGAAAATAGTATAATTGGAAACGTAACAGCACCTCTATTACGTGTTGTGAATCTAACTGGTAAGCCGGGTGATAGTATTTCCGAAGTATATATGACCGAGCATCAACATCGTATATTAGGTAAACGTCATCCAGACATTACTATTGAAATTCGCACCTTAACTGGAAAATTAGTAAAATTCCATTGGGGAACCTGTATACTTACGCTACATTTTCAACGCTCGCTTTTTTAGAAAATGACACATATACCAGTAGATTTGGATAAAATCGATTGGGGTCCCTTTTTAGCTGCTCAAGATGGCGGCGCAAAAACCGGCATATCCAATGAAAGTCAATATTTCCAGGGAACAAGGTATCAACGCGGTTTTGGCGTACTGGGCACTGTAGGTCGTTTTCTCATGCCCATAGTTAAAAATTTAGCTACTAGTGCAGGCCAAGAAGCAGTTAACGTTGGGAAAAATGTACTTGATGATGTTTCACAAGGTCGTTCAGTTAGTGAATCATTAAAAAAACACAGCAGTGAAGGTCTCCAAAAAGTGGGAAAAAAGCTTCAACAGTGCGGAAAAGGAAAAAGAAAACGTAAATCAAAACAAAAACCAATTATTGAAAAGATTACAAATAAGGGAAGACGCCACAGGGATCAACTAAGTTTAGAAGATTTCTGAGTATATAAGTAAAGCATCATACTCGTTTATGCCAAATAGAAAAAAATGACAACATTAAAGAAAATTGATAAAGATAGTTCTGAGGGGGTTGATAATCGTTTGTCTTTTTTTTCAATTCCTTCTACAAATGTAGGTATTCAACGTTCAGCATACAAGGAAATTCTCCCTCTTAATGCTCTTAATCAATCTGCAGGCCCTTTTATTTTTCGGTATTTTGGTGACTCTCTCTATCTTGATTTAAGCAAGACTTTTCTAAGTCTGATTTTATCGCTTGAAAGAAAAGATGTAGCAAGTGGTGAGTGGATTCCTATTTCTGACGGAGAAGCCGCAGATCTAAAGGGTGATAAATTTGCAGGTGTCGCTCAATATTTAGGACTTACATGGATTCGGCGTCTTACACTTTCAATTAATGGTATTCAATGCTATGACTCGGGTATCCACTATGCATATAGATGTATCCTTCTTCATGAACTTGGCGCCGATCGAGAAGTAAGTAAAGGTATTTATGAAGCTGCACTTTATTATAAAGATTCAGTTGATAAAGATGATTTTGAGGGTTCAGGATTTAAATCCCGTGCTTCTCGCTTTGCTAAAGGTAAATTGTGTAGAATGTTTTCTCATTTGGATTATGATATGGCGCGACAAAACCAGCTTTTAATTCCACATAGCGATGTGATCTGGACCATTTACAGAAATTCTGATGAATTTCTTATTCATACTCCAAAATACCGCTCAGCTACAGCATTAGTTGATAACAATAATACATACAGACTTCGTCTCCATGATATGAGAATTTTTGTGAAACAGGTCGATTTGAGCATGTCATTAAACAATGCCATTGCTAGACATCTAGAACAGTCACCTGCTAAATATGCCTATAGAAAGATTGATATTCGCAGCGTTTTCCTGGGAAAAGGTCGTCAGGAAATTACTCATGCGGCATTTACGAGTACTTGCCCGAGACGCTTAATTATTAGTTTTGTTAGCTCCCCCGCCTTTACAGGAAATACTGCTTTATCTCCATTTACTTTTGAGCATGCTAACTTACGCTCGGTTTCTGCGGAATTTGGTGGATTCCAATTTCCTGCTGTTTCGTATGATTTTGATTTTGCCGATAATAACTTCGTACGCGCCTATGTTGATATGTTTGTGGGTATGGACCTTGATAATTGGCCAAATACTGACCAGAGAACTCTTGATATCAGTATGAAGGAATTTTCAAAATCCTCGTGTTTTTTTGTTATACCGATGACTTCAACACTTGAGGATACTAATGGTCTAGAATTAATTAGACAAGGAACCACTACAGTCCGGTGTATTTTCAATCAGCCGATCAAAGACGATGGTTACGAAATGATAATTATGGGCGAGTTCGACTCAATTCTGTCCATAAATGCCGATCGAGTGTTAAGTACTGACGGATCTGTATAAGATGAATTCTCTACAAATTGAAACAATATTGCTCAACTACAAGCCGCTTAAAAATAAATTTATTGGTGTCTTCTCATCTAATAATATTCCAAATATAGAGCTGAATAAACCATTTTGTTTTATTGCTAATACTATGAGAAAAGGAACAATCGGAGAACACTGGATTGCCTGTTATTCAGATAGCAAAAATACATTGGAATATTTTGACTCGCTCGGTGATACTCCCAACTGCGACATGCGCCAATCTATGCTAAATCGCTTTTCGATAGTTAAACAAAGCCGTTATTCTCTACAATCTCCTTTATCCGATACTTGTGGGCATTACTGTATTTGTTTTCTTGTTTTACGTTCAAGCCAAGGAAGTAATTTTTCATCTACACTTCAAAAATTGCACTCAATACCTTCAGAGAGTCGAGATGCGGTTCTAAAGAGATTAGTACAGAGATTAGCTTTTCTACCTAGTATATAAGAAAACTAAAGTATTATTTGTTATATTATTTAAAAATGATATTTTTTCTATATCTAGTTGCATTAATCAGCTTGGCTGGGGCAGAAATATTGAAACAAAACGATAGTAATATACTTTACCCGTTTCACGGTCCCATCCCACCGAATGTAAATTCGTGTTTTATTATCGACGAAGCACATGCCCTTTCAATCGGCCCTTCTCATTCAACAAATCCAAACAAAGACATGCTGCTTTTGATTGCTTATGTTCTTGATTTGGGATTAATCTTTGTATTAGCAGTTGTATTTAAAGCGCATGTAAATCTGAGAAGAAATGGGAGTGGAGACCTTCCTAGTATTCGTTTTGCAAAAGGTCCACTTAGTATATAAGTAACGGATTCTAAAAACAGTCTCGAAACGCAAGATATGAACATTCGTACTAGTAACAACATGTCTGAATTGCGAGGGCCTGCCGAAATATCTTCTGGAGTTCCGCCAAAAGCACAAGTTAAAACCGGTTCACTAGTTCAATTGCTTTGTAAATTTAATGGAGGATGTGCACCAGAGTCACTTCACAGAAAAATGCGTAAAAAATATAACGAAAATATTCAATTTCTTCAAACACTTACTACTATGACAAATGAAGATGTCGTTAACACAGGAACTGGTCAAAAAACATTTTCAGACAACAATATGAAAATAGGAACGAAGGCCATCCTAACAAATCATTTAAGACATATTCAATTCGAGGTATATCCAAGTAAATTGACAAAATTAGGAGCTGATCGTATTTTTGCATTACGAGGATATTTGCGTGTGACAATCCGGCAATATTTCTATGTTCGACATCACATAGACCTTGTATATCCGCAGCTGCCTCTTGTTTGCGTTGTTGGAGGAAGACAGCATCAATATTTCTATCCTCTGGAATGTTTGGACTTTGTTGATGTTGAAGAACTAAATGAATAGGAATTTATTAAAACTATATAAATGATCATTCACATTTTTTCATAATATGAAAAATGCTTTTTATATTAATTTTAGTTGCACTAATAGAGCTTGTTAACTGTGAAGTTAAAATAACAAAAAATGAAGAGAATAAAGCTTTACGCCCTTCCTTAACTCCTCATTCAAATTTTACAAATATAACCTTACAACCGAGTGGTCATGTATGGTTTGAATACGATGAGAACGAAAAGGAGTGGAAACAAGTATACAAACCTACTTTTTCTGTAGTGTATTATAAACCAACTATATTCGATACCGCATGGTTATTTGTTAAAGAAACTTGCTATGATATTGTTGTAGCTACCAAATCCCTGGTTATCGGGGTAACAAAGCTAACATTATATTTAGGACGTAGATTAATACCTATTCCCTAATCTGTTGTAAAAACGTTAAAAATTATTTTAATCTTTTTTTAAAAATTTTTTGTATTAAAATAATTGTTTTTATAAATCGTTCTACTAGTTAAATATTTTAATTTAATAAACATTTTTAAATGTTCTTTTTTAGTATTTTTACTTTAGTAGTCTAGTAGTTAGTTAGCCATTATAGTGACCAGTTAAAACAATTTTGTTTTTAGAAATTGTTTTAACTGGCTACTATATACTACTGAGATTGGAATGGTATATCGTAACCCAATTCGCGATGATTACTTCATCGGGCAAATCCTCTTTGAAAATATCAGTCAAAAAAAATAACACAAAATTATTAATCCATAAATAACTTACTGTATATTAATAGGGTATAGTTCGTCTTGGTATATTAGATACTATATTTAATGGAGATTCGAATGGTATATCGTAACCCAATTCGTGATGATTACTTCATCGGGCAAATCCACTTTGAAAATATCAGTCAAAAAAAATAACCCAAAATTATTAATCCATAAATAACTTACTGTATATTAATAGGGTATAGTTCGTCTTGGTATTTTAGATACTATAATTAATGGAGATTCGAATGGTATATCGTAACCCAATTCGCGATGATTACTTCATCGGGCAAATCCACTTTGAAAATATTAGTCAAAAAAATAACACAAAATTATTAATCCATAAATAACTTACTGTATATTAATAGGGTATAGTTCGTCTTGGTATATTAGATACTATATTTAATGGAGATTCGAATGGTATATCGTAACCCAATTCGCGATGATTACTTCATCGGGCAAATCCACTTTGAATATATCAGTCAAAAAAAAATAACCCAAAATTATTAATCCATAAATAACTTACTGTATATTAATAGGGTATAGTTCGTCTTGGTATTTTAGATACTATAATTAATGGAGATTCGAATGGTATATCGTAACCCAATTCGCGATGATTACTTCATCGGGCAAATCCACTTTGAAAATATTAGTCAAAAAAATAACACAAAATTATTAATCCATAAATAACTTACTGTATATTAATAGGGTATAGTTCGTCTTGGTATATTAGATACTATATTTAATGGAGATTCGAATGATATATCGTAACCCAATTCGCGATGATTACTTCATCGGGCAAATCCACTTTGAAAATTTCAGTCAAAAAAATAACACAAAATTATTAATCCATAAATAACTTACTGTATATTAATAGGGTATAGTTCGTCTTGGTATATTAGATACTATCTTTAATGGAGATTCGAATGGTATATCGTAACCCAATTCGCGATGATTACTTCATCGGGCAAATCCACTTTGAAAATATTAGTCAAAAAAATAACACAAAATTATTAATCCATAAATAACTTACTGTATATTAATAGGGTATAGTTCGTCTTGGTATATTAGATACTATATTTAATGGAGATTCGAATGGTATATCGTAACCCAATTCGCGATGATTACTTCATCGGGCAAATCCACTTTGAAAATATCAGTCAAAAAAAATAACACAAAATTATTAATCCATAAATAACTTACTGTATATTAATAGGGTATAGTTCGTCTTGGTATATTAGATACTATATTTAATGGAGATTCGAATGGTATATCGTAACGCAATTCGCGATTATTACTTCATCGGGCAAATCCCCTTTGAATATATCAGTCAAAAAAAATAACACAAAATTATTAATCCATAAATAACTTACTGTATATTAATAGGGTATAGTTCGTCTTGGTATATTAGATACTATATTTAATGGAGATTCGAATGGTATATCGTAACCCAATTCGCGATGATTACTTCATCGGGCAAATCCACTTTGAAGAAGTCAGTGAAAAAAAATAACACAAAATTATTAATCCATAAATAACTTACTGTATATTAATAGGGTATAGTTCGTCTTGGTATATTAGATACTATATTTAATGGAGATTCGAATGGTATATCGTAACCCAATTCGCGATGATTACTTCATCGGGCAAATCCACTTTGAAAATATCAGTCAAAAAAAAATAACCCAAAATTATTAATCCATAAATAACTTACTGTATATTAATAGGGTATAGTTCGTCTTGGTATATTAGATACTATATTTAATGGAGATTCGAATGGTATATCGTAACGCAATTCGCGATTATTACTTCATCGGGCAAATCCCCTTTGAATATATCAGTCAAAAAAAATAACACAAAATTATTAATCCATAAATAACTTACTGTATATTAATAGGGTATAGTTCGTCTTGGTATATTAGATACTATATTTAATGGAGATTCGAATGGTATATCGTAACCCAATTCGCGATGATTACTTCATCGGGCAAATCCACTTTGAAGATATCAGTGAAAAAAAATAACACAAAATTATTAATCCATAAATAACTTACTGTATATTAATAGGGTATAGTTCGTCTTGGTATATTAGATACTATATTTAATGGAGATTCGAATGGTATATCGTAACCCAATTCGCGATGATTACTTCATCGGGCAAATCCACTTTGAAAATATCAGTCAAAAAAAAATAACCCAAAATTATTAATCCATAAATAACTTACTGTATATTAATAGGGTATAGTTCGTCTTGGTATATTAGATACTATATTTAATGGAGATTCGAATGGTATATCGTAACCCAATTCGCGATGATTACTTCATCGGGCAAATCCACTTTGAAAATATCAGTCAAAAAAAATAACCCAAAATTATTAATCCATAAATAACTTACTGTATATTAATAGGGTATAGTTCGTCTTGGTATATTAGATACTATATTTAATGGAGATTCGAATGGTATATCGTAACCCAATTCGCGATGATTACTTCATCGGGCAAATCCACTTTGAAAATATCAGTCAAAAAAAATAACCCAAAATTATTAATCCATAAATAACTTACTGTATATTAATAGGGTATAGTTCGTCTTGGTATATTAGATACTATATTTAATGCAGATTCGAATGGTATATCGTAACCCAATTCGCGATGATTACTTCATCGGGCAAATCCACTTTGAACATATCAGTCAAAAAAAAAATAACCCAAAATTATTAATCCATAAATAACTTACGGTAGATTAATAGGGTATAGTTCGTCTTGGTATATTAGATACTATATTTAATGGAGATTCGAATGGTATATCAAAACCCAATTCGCGATGATTACTTCATCGGGCAAATCCACTTTGAACATATCAGTCAAAAAAAAATAACCCAAAATTATTAATCCATAAATAACTTACGGTATATTAATAGGGTATAGTTCGTCTTGGTATATTAGATACTATATTTAATGGAGATTCGAATGGTATATCGTAACCCAATTCGCGATGATTACTTCATCGGGCAAATCCACTTTGAAAATTTCAGTCAAAAAAAAATAACACAAAATTATTAATCCATAAATAACTTACTGAATATTAATAGGGTATAGTTCGTCTTGGTATATTAGATACTATATTTAATGGAGATTCGAATGGTATATCGTAACCCAATTCGCGATGATTACTTCATCGGGCAAATCCTCTTTGAATATATCAGTCAAAAAAAATAACACAAAATTATTAATCCATAAATAACTTACTGTATATTAATAGGGTATAGTTCGTCTTGGTATATTAGATACTATATTTAATGGAGATTCGAATGGTATATCGTAACCCAATTCGCGATGATTACTTCATCGGGCAAATCCACTTTGAAAATATCAGTGAAAAAAAAATAACACAAAATTATTAATCCATAAATAACTTACTGTATATTAATAGGGTATAGTTCGTCTTGGTATATTAGATACTATATTTAATATAGATTCGAATGGTATATCGTAACCCAATTCGCGATGATTACTTCATCGGGCAAATCCACTTTGAAAATATCAGTCAAAAAAAATAACACAAAATTATTAATCCATAAATAACTTACTGTATATTAATAGGGTATAGTTCGTCTTGGTATATTAGATACTATATTTAATGGAGATTGGAATGGTATATCGTAACCCAATTCGCGATGATTACTTCATCGGGCAAATCCTCTTTGAAAATATCAGTCAAAAAAAATAACACAAAATTATTAATCCATAAATAACTTACTGTATATTAATAGGGTATAGTTCGTCTTGGTATAT